GGGGGGGGGGGGTATTTACATTTCTCAAAGGAAATGGGGTGGTCGACTACTGCAGTTTCTTTAGGCAATCTTACCTGAAGGTCTTGAGCCTTTGCAGCCCGGTCGATCTCAGCCTGTACCAGTTCGGCCAACTCCGTGAGTTGCTGCTTTTTTGCGGCTTGCATCGATGCTTCCTCGTCGACAATAGGGTCCTCTCTCTTTGCGGCACAAGCACGAGCGGCAGCAATGGCATGCGGCGGTACTACAGCAGTGGTTATGCACGTCCAACCATCGATGAGCACGTGCACACGTATCATTACCGTATTAAAGTGTTGACCAAGTTTTGGTTGATTCTTCACGAGAATATCAACCGGGTACTGGAAGCCTACAGCAGGAGCCACATAGCTACGTGTAGCGCGAGTGCTTGGGTCTATAAGGCATCGCACTCGATCCTTACACCTTCAGAACTTTTGTTCCCTTCACAACCGCCAACTTGCTCTCGAAAATCGAACACTGCGTTAATTCAAGGAGAACTTCGCTCTACCTACCTCTTCGCTAGCTTGGTTAGGTCCAGCGCCCTCCGCACGTGCCGGAGGCGTCGCCTTTTCCCCGACGACAATTATACGCCCTCGATCGCCATCACTAATCTTTGGGTCATTGATCAAACGCTGGTTGATTTCCCTCCGCTTGCCTACCCCACCTTCACTCCCCCTTTGGGCTGGTTTCATATTTTGCGGCTGTTGTTGCCGTAGCTGCAAGGGTTTTCGAGGACTCATGGCATCGACGGTGCTGTTGTTCTCTCCGGCGGTCGCTTTGATGCTTGCATTTGAATTGCCTCGCTGCTTGGTGTTTTCCTCCGGAGGTAATCCCCGGACCACGCCTTTTCCTCTCTCGCCGACACCCCATTCGTCGTCGAGGCCAACCGAACGCCTAGAGCGCCGCGCTCCCATCCGGCTGGAAGCGGCCGGCGGCATCTACACGACAGATCGACTGCAGCTGCTGCCGTCCGAACAGCAGTGGGCACGTCCGGTCAACACGTTGTTGATTCCCTTGGTGTATTTATTGATCGCCTCTGTTGTTTTGCATGCGAAGGTGCACCACGAGCCACACAAGCGCCTCGGTGTCTGCAGCAGCACACGAGAAGTTCGCCTTTCAATAGCTCCTACGGGCATGCCTTGTGCGCGCATGTCTGTCTCTACGTCGGGCAGCCGCCGGTCTCGTCTTCACTGCTGACCCCTTCCCCTCTTGAACTGCTGTACGGGACGAAGCATGAAGAGGCGGCAAAGGGTCCAGCACGACACCCAGAACGGTGCAAGAAAAGGATATTTACCGCGCGACCCGCCGTGGCGGGGCCGGACTGGGCTGGAAAGGTGGACATGAACTCTCTCGCGGTGTGCCTTTTGACCCGCCGACCTTTGATCGAGAACGTCGGAACTCTCTTTTCGGTTTCATAACAACCAAAAACATGCCTCGACAACCTTCCTACTGAACACCTTTTGACCAGGAGCGTGCCACGCGGCGAATGATGCACGCATACATATGTGCTGAGACAGCTTCCCTGGTGGGGGACCCGGACCGTGCACACAACACATACGCACCACGTCGAGACCATGCACCACAGAATACAACTGCTTCGCTTTGCGGCTGCCGCCCTGGTGCTCGGCAGCTACAGCAGACGATCGAGCGTGTGCGCTCATGCTCCTTCAAAAAATGCCTGGCATACCAAACGGCCGCGAGCTCATTTGGCACAGCAGCAGCAGCAGCAGCAGCAGCAAGGGCGAGATGGGTCCCGAGGCTCGCGCAGCGCCAGGTCTCAGGAGCTCCGGGCGAAGGGTTCTCCGGTCCCTTGGCTGACGTCGGTGGCAGGCCTTCGCGGTGGCGGATCAACGGCGGCCGAACAATCGGTTACATGTAGTTCGAGAGGGGGAGGAGGACGGACGGTGGCGGTGACCTCGAGCCTCCGCAGGTCGCTCAGGGTGAGTCTTGGCAGTTGCAGCATATCATGGAACCTTGCCTCTTGTTGCACGACATCATCAGTGATACATCAGTGGTAGATCGACAACCTCCAGGGAGGGTTATTGGGCGACTGACGCGATGCCGCGCGCACGCGACTACAACCGGGATGGCGCGGTGAAGTACGACAGAACACGGATTGTATACAACTTCATGTTGGAACTTTAACGGCAACCTGAAAGCTGCTGGCACTGCACTACAGTACATAGTGGACATGGCCACGTCAATATGATGCTTCTTGTTGTTCTCTGGAGCCGTCGATAGACAGCAGTACTGGCAGGACGCAACCCAGCCGATTCTTGTGTCCGCCTATCAATGAAACCTTTATCGGTGGATGGGAAGTAAGATTAATATTCGACAGAAGCTTTTTCCCAAACGCATGCACAAACGTCGACACATACGAGCTGCCATTTTCGTATCTTTTCAAAAATCAACCCCGACCTCTTTTTTATTTTCTTAATATCACACAACAAATCCATCTCCATCTAAAGAAATACGTCTAAGATAGATTAGCAATGAATCCATAGCGTGAGCGAAAGGCTACCCGTATACCTCAGCAGCGGTGATTTTTTTTTTTTCTCCCATCATGGGACTCTGTCGGCTGCCCCTCTGGCCCCTATCCTCCACTTCTACCAGCTAGACGACCCAACCGGGGGGGGGGCTGGACCCCCTCCTGCGGTTGCTGCCTGAGGGATTTTTATCGCGAGAAGGGTACAGCAATCCCTTCCCTCGCGACTTACGAAGTCGACTATGGTTTACTAACAACGAGCTTTGTAAAGCGGTCGCTGCGTTCCCCAGCCAAAGGCCAAAGACCAAAGGCACAACGCGAAAAGTAATCCCACCGCCAAAGTTGGAGTGCCAGTCAATCTCACCACTGTCACGGCCAAGACCCATCTTCCTGATACACCCAAACGCCGGTACACACATAGCCATTGTAGCTGCTGTAGGAATATTTCCTCCTTTTTCAACATCAAAACCAAACCAACGGCCTATTGTTGCTGGTTATTGTTGTTGTAGTTGAAGTTGCAGTTGTTGTTGTTGTAGTCTTGATAAAAAAAAACTTCCGGTCTCCTGCTCTGTACCTTCAAACACCTGTACCGGTGCAAGTGATGGGTCACAGGCCATCTTCCCAAAGCAGGGTAGAATACACACCACGAACACGAAGAGTCGAAGAGAAAAAGCTAGGGACCCAGAAAAAATGGAACACAATCACGATAACAGGAGCTATACAATATGACACCATAAAATATAATTATTCAAGATTGTTTAGCCCCCCCCGACAACGGTCACATGTTACCGGCAACCATGTCAGATGAAGGAGATGTAGGAGATGCACGTGAAAAAAAACAAGAGCCCATCACGCCGGCTCGGCACGCGATGCCAGAGCAAACATGGCGCACAGTTCCATCCGTGTACATACATAACCAAGCACTTCCTTCGGTGCGGATTCCCCGACGCTCTCTTGATCGATGATGCCCCGACTCCCCAACCTCCGCGCCCCGCAACCCCCACCCTCGCAGATATGCGGGCTGTTTGGCCTCTCCTACCTGTGCTCGATGCTGTTCAACATCAACAACAAGCGGGCCCTGATGCTGGTGCCGTTGCCTTGGACCTTCGCGGCGCTCAACCTGTCGATTGGGTCCGTGGTCGCGCTGCTCTCGTGGTCCATCAAGATTGCCCCCTGGCCCCGGATCACCCGGCAGGTACATGGCAGATGTGGTTTTGTTGTCTGCTGTAGTGGGGGGNGGGGGGGGGGGAGGGGGGGAGTTGTAGAGAGGAGATGGGCGTGGTTTTGTTGTCTGCTGTAATCGGTGAGGGTTGTAGAAAGGAGAGGAGGTAGGGTCGATTCGGACGGCTTTCCCCCTAGCAAGGGTCACACGGAGGGTGTGCATTGTTTCTGTTGTCTGCTGGGGAGGGTTGTAGAGAGTAGACGACAGGAAAAGAAGATCAATTGAGACGGCGTTCCCCCTGGCCCCGGATCACCCGGCCGGTGTGCGTGGTTTGTGGTCTGCCAAAGTGTTGACGGGGATATAGTGGAGATGAGGGAGACGAATTGATACAGCTATCCCTTCCGGATGCCTTTCTATTTAGTCCATGGAAGCAAGCTAGAGTGGTAGATGACCTCGCTGCTTGTTTCCCAGCTAGTCGTGAAGGAGAAACTCCCGGCATTGCTGCTTTCTCTCGACCTCGTGTGACCCCAGAACGGTTCGAACGGCAGCGCACCGTACATAACTCCAGGACTAGGCAAGAAACACCCCCCGAGTAATGAACTTCCAACGTTTTTGCCTTCTTAACAATCACCGGGGATGTTATCGTGTGAGGGTTGTAGTATTAGTATCTCATGGTGTCGCCCTATTTCTTGACCCGAGAATATGTATTGTGTTTTGTGGTCTTGTTGACCCGCAAGAAATATGTGACCACCGGGCGTGGTAGTGTGCGTGTGTATCGTGCCATGCGGGTGTGTCATATCGTGTCTTGTACAGCGGACTGCTTGGTGCCTCAACTCAACCTCTCCTCCTCCCTTCGGCTCCGTCCACCTTCGTGTGTGTTTTTCTTCCGCCTTCTCGCCTTCTCGACTCGCCACCCCCCTTTCCCCCGGAACGAAAGGACTTGGCCGTGCTTGTCCCCATGGGCTTCCTGCACGCCGTGTCCCACCTTACCGTAGTCCTCGGCCTCGGCGCCGGAGCGGTGTCGTTCCTGCAGACCGTCAAGGCTGCGGAGGCGTGCTTCACGGCGCTCCTGTCGTACCTCTTTCTGGGACAGGTGAGAGAGAGCCAACGCAACAAGCAGGGGCGAACAAAAAGAAAAATGGCGGCTTGGGATCCGTCCCGCAGCCGTGTGGCACGGGCGGCGAACTCATGGTTTTGCTTTTGCTCCTTTGGGGAGGGAGGTTCATGGAAAGTTTTAGGGGGGGGGGGGACTGCTATCGCAGGCTGTTTTGTGTGGCCAGCTGTTTCTTGTATTTTCTCCGTTTTTTTTTCACCCTAATTTGTTTCATCCAATAATTACTCTCGTTTTCCACGTTGTCTGGAAGGGCGTTCGTGTCCAACGGCGGCGACATGCGCGAGGGTGTTTCTTCCCTCTACCTCAATTTTTGCGGCAAATACCTAACGCACTGCTGTTTACTCTCTTTCTCTCTCTCTCTCTCTCTCTCTCTCTCTCTCTC